GTAAGAGGACTTTATCCTCTTTGCCTTTGATTCGAAAACCTTCAGGCTGTTCCATGTAGATAGTCTCATGTAAGACGCCATATAGATAGGCATTTCGAACATCGAGTCCAGTGAGATACCAGTTGTTCAGCGCAGTCAAGGCGAGCAATAGTCTAACAGTCTCAAACCGTACTACAGGAGAGAAGACTTGGTCATAATCAAGACCTTCAATTTGTGAGAACCCTTTGACAACAAGGCGTGCCTTCTTACGACCGTCAGATTTGACGTCGAAGACCCAGCGGTTCTTAATGACCTTTCGGTCTGCTGGACGATCCATGAGTTCAAAAGTACCACGCCGTTTGAGCGCTTCAAGCTCTTCTTGGCAGGCCTTAAGCCATTCCTCACGCTCAGCCTTAGGTAGGCGAGTAATGTCCTTGTAAGTCCATTCACGGACGTTCTCGGAGCCTTTCAGCTCCCCCTCAAAGGGAACGGCCTTAGCCATGAGAAAATATATTAATTCAGCTCCCCCTTCCCGACATAGTCTGATCAGGGTACTAGCTTCGTCACCGGGAGTGACAGAGGGTTGTTCTCCATCTTCAGGAGTAGGATGCTCAGTACTAGGTCCGGGAACCTGTTCTGGCTCAGGGCGCTCTTGCTCAGCCGAGGAGCTACCTGGCTGTGGAGCTCTTGCGCGTCTCTGAATATCCCTCTTTGGTCTCTCTACCTGTTGTTCCGTAGGAAGCTTACTGCTGCTTCTAGGATCACCGGTAAGACGAGTAGGTGGTCTCCGCACACGACCTGAACGTCTCGGTTGCTCTTCAGCAGGAGGTTGTTCATTCCGGGGTTGTGGCGGCGGACTAGGATCTCGCGCTGGCTGTTCAGCTGGCGCAGGCGGTGCAACGTCTTGCTCCGGATCCTGTCTTCTTTGGGGAGTAGTAGGTTGATGAGATGGAGGAACATCATCATCATCAGGTGGAGGAATTGGATCTTTAGGATCTGTGTTGCGATCTGGTAGTCGCGTAGAGCGATGACGCTCTGAGGCTTTACAACGAGGAAATAATTTCTCATCAAAGACAGCGTGCGTAGCAGTGAACATAGCATTGTTCGACCGCATGTAGATATTTCCGTGTCCACCATCAGAAACTCCGAGATATGTCATTAGTTCTGACCTGGGCGATTGTTTGTTTACACGTACTTCTTCATGAAGATAGACGTATGCGCCACAGCCAAAGACACGCAAGTGATCTATGCGCGGAACTTTGTTGTACAAAATCTCATATGGTGTCTTCCATTTGTGACGACGCATAGGAGTGAGGTTATACACACACACAGCATGTTTAACAGAGAATTCCCACCAGGATTCAGGAATACAGGCTTGAAAGCGCTGCAGTTCACTTTTCTCAATAATAGTCCGGATAAACCTCTCAGCTCGTCTGTTCTGCTGGTGGATATGAGGAGATGACCATTGTACTTTAATACCTTCGTTCTTAAAGAACTCATCAAGTGCATTGGATCTAAATTCTCCGCCACCATCAGACATCCATTCCTTGACGTTAGTCTCGTATAGATTTTTGACTGAGGCAATAAATTGCTTTATCACTGGCAGAGATCCGCTCTTCTTTTTCAAGTGGCAGAAGAACCCGAATGAAGTATAGTCATCTATGAAGAAGATCGTATACTTGTACTTGTGGTATGAAGTGGTAGGCCATTCTTTGAGGTCTGAGTGAATGAGCTCAAAGGGACGTGATGCCCGATGAGTAGTTGGCGGAAATGGACGTAAAGTCATCTTTCCCTTGGCACAACCTTCACAGAGATCTTCCTCATGGGGAATGCTGAAGGTGGGAACACCTTCTGCATGTTTCCTCAGTTGAGTGAGTGCTTCGCGCGATGGATGACCCATTCGGCGATGCATGGTAGTGTAGTCCACTGAGTGGATCACTAAGTTTACAGCCATAGGCTGTGGCGAATAATCTTTGAGAATATAGATTGTATCGCTGTGAGTTCGTGGTTCAAATGACAGGAATAAACCATCTTTGTCCCAGAAGTCAACTTTGTCTGCGTTGCCGCGAACAGTTTTGCCATCTTGTAGGAAGCGTCCTTGTGCTATAAGGCGATGACTCAACTCCTTCATATAGAATACTGGAGCGATTCGTGCCGAATGCATGTGGCCTCTTACATCCTTGAAATGTATCAAGACAGTCCCAACGCCAGTAATGTAGGCAGTTGTGGTTGCAGTTGCTATAAGAACTTTTTCCTCAAGGTCTTCATACTCAATGAAGTCACTCAAGTCAAAGGTAGTGTGTTCAGAACAACCAGAGTCGTTCATCCACCACTTGGGTTGGTTCCTCTCTTTACCCTTACACTTCTTGCACACAGAGTATGAAACATCATGTACACAAAAATGTTCTTTGGATATATACTTGACATTGATACGATAATTATACAAGCGGGACAAGAGATCAGGCTTAAAGGCCGACTTGCATGTCTTCGTCACTGCAACCGATGAAGGTGCGTTAGTATATCTCGTATGATCAAGATCAGAGGAGGGTACTGACCCCATGGTGTCCATGAATCCAGTGATTGCCAAAATTTCACGATCCAAGTCGAAATTCATCAACTCATCAGGGTCAAAAGAGGCAGTTCCTGGGACCTCAAAGTCCATAGGAGGAGATGGAGGAGGCGGCGTAGGAGCCTTGTTGCCATCCTCAACATCATTCTCAGAAGGCAACACACGGGTGCGCTTCGTTGGAGGATCAGAAGAACCTTGCTCATCGTCACTACTATCTAACTCCGAAATGTGTCCAGATGGCTCAAGGGCACGAATGACTTCGGCAGTTGCACGGACGCCAATATCACGGGCACGTTGAATGGCCATCCTTGTCTTCTTATGAAGACAAAGGGACGTAGCATTGTGAGGAGGATTGTAGGGAGGATGGATAGAGTGCTTGCGCACATCTGGGACGGAAGGAGTAAGATTGGTACGTACCGGACCAAAGTCAACAGTACTGCCAATTGGACTGAAGTCCATAGAGTCTGCATCAGCTTGTGCAGCGTTTGCATTCCTCTTAGCCTTCTTGTTCTTTCCACTGCCACGCTTACGCTTCTTCTTGTTGGAGTCGTCGTTCCCGTTCTGTCCCTTCTGCTGCTGGTTACTATTGTTACCATGCTGCTGTTGGGAGAACTTGGGATCGTTTCCCTTGCGATGAACGTTCGAAAACTTGTTCGCATTCTGCGGTTGGGAGTTGCTAATGGTGTCTCCGCTGAAAGCGTTCATAACTGCGATACGAACTTTGGCAAACGTCAATTCCTTGAGTTCCTCAGTACCGAGTTGAGACATAGTCTGGACAACGACAGAGTAGCGTGATGGAAGCTTAGATAGAAGAATCAGAGCTTCGAGGTGGTCAGGAGTGCCAATGTCAGCGTCATCCATACGGGTGAAGAACATGCCAATGTCAGTCATAGCTGTGAGTGGGTTTCCCTTGTATGGGACCTTGACAGCCATGGCGGCAGCAAAGTCATTAAAGACTGCGCCTAGACCTTTGACCTTGTAGGTTTTCTGCAAGAATTCCCACAGTTTCTTAGCCGTGTCACCCTCATCCTTAGCAAGGGTGCGGATTGACGGAGAAAGGCGGAGACGGATGTTTCCAACAGCCTTAGTGTCGGTCTCCTTCCAGGATTTGAGGTTATCGTCATACTCCTTCCAGGCTTTGACACTGTCGAGGTCTGTCGAATCAAGTGGAGACGGCTCGGCAGGCGGGTCGGAGATAATGGCGGACCAAAGCCCTGTGGCTTGGAGAAAGGCTTCCATTTCAGAGATCCAGGTGTCGTAGTTATCACCTTTAAGGGTGGTGGTAACAGCGGTGAAGAGTGCAGAAGACATTGTAATCTGGATAAAATCAACAGTGATGTCAGCATGCAATTCATAAACGCTCAAGACAACAGATGAAAATAAAATGGCATGAATGTTATTGCCAGTAGTGACAAGCTGCGACATATGTCTAGCAAGCTGTCATCTACAGTGTCAAGCACTCTTGGGCGATGTCATAATCAGCACTTGTTAGGTGCGATATTGACTTCAGCGCCAGAGGCGACATTCCAGGTAAAGGTCTGTGTCAGAGACAGCAATCAAATAGATGCGTCAATGACAACAGTAAACCAGAGAGCGCTGCGAGCTTAGAGCTCAGCAAAGCGTTCATCCGGGGCCCATAACCTGTTGAGCAGGCAAGGGGTGCATAGTGGTGACACTCTCTAGCACCATACCTGGGTAGTATAGCTTATAGTCTCAGTGAGGCAATAAAGATGAGAGAGAAGCGAGTTGGATTCCAGTACAGGACATAGCTACTTATATACATAAATGTATGACAGTATTACATAAGGAAGTACTGAGGAATCCGCATATGGTATATGATGTCAGTGTACACTAAGCATAAACTAGTATAACACATGACCGTATTAGTGATGTGTGAACAGCATAGCCGCGTTCAACAGAGAGGAGGGAGGGGAGGGTAGGGAAACGAAGGAGGAAACGGTCGAGATCTCGAGGGGTAGGAGTTATGGAGGTACCCGATTCATCTACTCCACGTGGAGGCTCCTCGACGATTCCCTTTCCTTCCATAAACGACTCCCGACTTCTTCCGCTCATTCCAACCAACACCCATCACTGATCCCCCTGCCACTCCCCTTATCCTCCTTCACCCTTCCTCAGTCACGTTTTCTCATTCCCGACGATGATGATGATGATGAATTACAAACGCCTCTTGCGTTATTCCCTATTATATCTTCCCTACCTGTTCCGCCTACTGTTACGTCTAATTCGAAGCACTAGTGCTTCCCCTGTTCCGGTACCCGCTCCGGGTATTCCGTATATCACCACCGACCATCTCATGCTATCTCATGTATGTATTATGTATCACACCTGATGTATGTTAATCAGACTCAACAAAAAAAAAAAATAAAAGGAAAAGATTTTTCGAATATGAATAAGGAAGCAAGGAAGGAAGAAAGAAAGAAAAAGAGATTCATGATTCGACCCGGGCTCGAACCGGGGACCTTCTGTGAAGCATTGGCGCGCAGCAGGATGTTAGACAGATGCGATAACCAACTACGCCATCGAACCGTGCTTAGATTTCTTTGGGTATTGACACAGGAATTTGATTGGAAGAGGGTGAGTGAATCAAGTGGGATTATATCAGGTAATCATCTCAGTGCAATCCAGAGCCTACTTCTAACTAGTTGCCCCTCCTGGGGACACAAACCTTGCTTGAGTCACTGGTTTCGCGACCAAAATAGCGATCGCGTCTCAAAAAGCCCCTACTCCAGAGGTAGATATGTTAGTTCTGATAGATTATACAATGACATACATTACTGGCGCCATATCTATCAAGTACACACAGGGCGTTGATTTATATACGGGTGCCAAAGCCATACCAAATAGTATATGGTACCATCGGGCTGACTGTTAAACAACCTTGTGGACTTTGCTGGGCCCCGCCTCAGTAGACATTACTGGCAAGGTTCGCTTACGGGTCGACTTAGAAGCAACTTTTGGCCCTTGCACAGAGACCACATCTGAACAGGAAATAAAGTCAGTGATTGTTCACACAGTAGGCCCCCAACATACCTTTTCCTTTACCCTTCTCCTGTCCAAATGAACAACTGTGAAACCAATTTCGGGTCACATGTCAATGCAGGTTCTGCGGTGGATGGATCCTGCTGTTCCCCAAATGTGAAGGAAGACCCAAGGGCATGAGAATCGGGAGTGATGTCTTCTGGGGACGCTGCGACTGCCTTCACACCTCGCAAATGTGCCGTCGGGGCTGGCTTGATGTTTCCACCATCAGGCGTCAACTCATTCACTTCAGCAGTAGACATAGCTGTCTTGTGACCACTGCATGTACATTGACACCGTCCTCCCACTCGAAAAATGCACCACATGGCCGCATGTGACAACAATACCACCCAAAGCAAATCGGTTGCCGCCCTCCAGACAGAAGTGTGTTGACCACTGTCGTCGCCACGGAAGCCGTGAACAGCTTCCCCTTCATGAACGAATTAAAGTAACCCGTCTGCGAGGATGTCAGGTAAATCAAACGATATGGGTGTGATGCGTACACTGACAGCATCTGCAATTACACGTTTGACACGGTCAATGTCACAGTCGGTTGTGAGTGACATTTGCACCTGAGTTGTGTTGGAAAACAGTTGGCAGTATACAGTACCTGAGCGAAGGTAGGATATTTAAGCAACAGGAAAATAAGGGGTGTAAGATGGTCCGGCCAACATTCATCGCGCAATCGAAGACAAATGGCGGACACTGCAAAGAGTCAGGAAGGGGCATGTGCGGCCGCCTACTACATGTCTGAGATTAACGCTGGTGCCGTGAGACGATTTTCGCGCGCGCTAATAATATCGAGGAAGAAAGGACCATTGCAAGCAAGGTGACACCAAATCTTAATCCAGTTCTTTCATTACTGCATATCAAGTTCAAAATTTAATCCCCAACTCCACCTGTTTGGTTCATTTGCAGATGGTTTCCAGTGCACCGGTATCTGGCATTCCTTGTTCCTCGATGGTGGATCTTCTTGTTCCTGAGGTGAGATAGGATGTCGTTCACATGGGTTCAGTCCACGTACACAAAGTACATCTACCGAGTCTCCTGAATTCAGTCTGAATCTTGGGTTGTAAGTGTCCCACTCTTTTTGACTCTCCATAGTTGCCCTGATGGTGCAATGGTTCCGGTGAAGTCTCTCTCTCTGCCCAAGGCCCATAGCGTTTCGTGTTCTCGTCTGGAGCAGGAGAGACTCTGAAGGATTTCAGGGATCCCGCAACTTGTCAAACGCTTCAAAGCTTCAGTTGTACCGGTGAATATTTATTCTTTGACATGATCGCCAATGTTATAGTTAATGAACTCGCCTTTTCAAACATAGAGAATTGATGTAGAGGCCCTAGGAAGATCTCAAATTAAAGAAATGTCCGCAATCAAACTTCAAAAACCTAGCAATGATCGATGAAGTTCCGGTGGGGTATTCAACGCATTGCGGTCATCAGTATGTATCACTGTAATAGCTTCTCTTGACGATGCCCACGTTCATATACCCCACGATTCGTCTCGACGTTTATAGACAGCACATGAATCTATCTAGAAATAAAGTCAAAAGAAAGCGCGCAAAGGAACGACAGGAGGTAGAGGAAAAGTGGACCCGTAACTTGAAACCCAATCACCATCAGAGTCGATTGATCATTCAAGGAAAACACAGAATCTCCGAATCTTCGACTTGAGAACTGATAAATGGTGCTTGAAAACACACAGATGTGAACTTCTTATGGGGTTACAATTATCGTGCAAGGGGCATCGGAACGAACATACACCGTTTCTGACCCAGTCCTGCTGCTCACCTTTCGGATGGCTCATGGTCAACTTGCCACTCCTATATTCGCGATCTTCTTATTCTGATACAAGATACGGATCTAGTATTCTCTCTGGCAATGCGCTCGTGGCTCTGTTTGTGTTTTTTTCTCGGTCCACGTGCACATGTAATGGTCGAAAAGGTTGGCACCTAGTAGCATTTCGAACTTACTTCATGTCTTCGTCTTCACTCTTGCATACGTACACCAACAACAATACCCTGAACCAGAAACCCCACACAGCCGCGAGACGCGAGACGCTTACTCGAGGATCATCCAAAGCAACAAGAAGAGCAACACATGCCTACCCACGAGATGCCAAGAAGCATTGTGCTGTGCGGAAAAACAGGGCTGGGGTGTCTGGAGCAGACGTCACGGAGGAGGAACTTCTAGGGGGGTTATTGGGGTCGACAGTGGATTTGACACGGTGTGTGTTTAACTGTGTAGGAGGTGGGAGAGAGGGGAGAATGGAGAATGGGGAGAAGGTCACTAACCTGATAACTTTGTCATCCGGGCCTCTTCCGACGGACTATCGATTATTTCCCGTTCCAGAGGACTTGGCAGAAACTTGAACATTCGTGGTTTTGATCGACGACTTTGGAGACAAGAGAGCGGTGGTCGACGTTGAATTTAGAGGATCAATTCAGGAAACGATCTTCTCTTTATTTGCGAAGAGCGCTGATTTTAGCGCCGTGACTTGTCCACAACTCTCGCTCGTACCTACATACAAGAGCTCTAGAGGCTCGATCCGGTTCGTTCTTACGCGGCACCTTTCGGGGGCGTTATTGGCTGCGCGATACAGGTAACGGAATGGTCGAAGGATAATTCGGAATGCAAATGTAGGGAATTATGAAGGGGACAACAAGATGACTTGGGGCCGAGCGGAGGAAACGCCAGCTGTAAATGATATGGCTGCGGGTCTTTCAGGACATGTGTGATTACGCTTGTTCAGGTTCATCTGTGGAAAGGGACAGGATGGAAACGGTCACGGTCGAGATTGAAGGGTATTGAGATTGAGATATTCCTGATACTCTCCCGGTTTCTTCCGTTCATTCCGACCAAGAACCATCGCCATCACCACTCCCCCTAACACCCCCCCCCCTCTCTCTTATCCTCCAGCATCCCACGTGAGCAATTCGAGTTTGCATACCCCGAAGACGATCTACAAACACCCCTTCCATGATCACGTTTCCTCATTCCCGACGACGAATTCCAAAAGCACTAGTGCCTCGTCTGTTCCCGTACCCGCTCCGGCTCTTCCTTACATCACCACCGACGCCTCCTCACCCTCATAATGACCCCTCCATTTGGGAATCTCCCTTTTCCCCTCTCCCTCTCATTGTCACCGTCACCCTCTTCCTCTCCACAACCAACCTCCCTCTCCGCCCTCGCCACCTTCTCTACCCACACCGACACCCTTCATGCCCAAGTCCAGAAAAGAAAGAAAGAAAGAGCCCCTCCCATTTCCTAAGTACGATCCCGAGGAAAACCACGTGTACAACAGTTTAGTGACTTGAGCGAGGATTGAGAGGTTGTATAGGAGAGCGAGCGAAACGAGGGGAGGGTGGAGGTGGTTTTATTTGGCATGTGGTAATGATAATACTAGTGCTCTCGTTCCCACTACTGGTACTAGTAATATCTCGTCCAAGGGCCTTTTGTAAATAATAATCCAGGGTTTGTTATCCTCGAAGCTCGGTCTCCCCCGCAGATGTAGATTTCATGTATGTATTACAGGGGATACAGTATTTGTCTGTAGTGTTAATCGATCATTGTGCGAGAGTTCACTCCGTATCCCTCCATAGCCATCCAAAGAAAAAATATTTCAACTTTAGACCAGATGATTCAACCCGGGCTCGAACCGGAGACCTTCTGTGAAACACAACAAGGATATAGCAATGTTAGACAGATGCGATAACCAACTACGCCATCGAACCATGGAAGTGAGAAGTTTCTTTGAGTGATTAGTTATTAAGATGGAAGAGGGTGCGGAGAATTGAGTGAAATGAGTCCAAATCTCAATAATATATATTGTATATACTGTATATACGTAGCTTCCCTGGAGACCTAATATTGCTCAGCAATTCCAGGTTTGTGTTTAGTTTACTGATAAGTAACTGTACGTGTAAAGCTGTAAGGACTGGTGGGCAGAATTTTGGTTGATCATGATGATAGATTATGCAGTGTACAGGCGTATCATACTGTATACATGCATAGCTTGTATCTGTTGAATGAATACTCAGTTGATAAGGAAGAACAACTGTATTAGTATTTCTAAGTACCTGTTGAATGAATACTATAGTACTTTAGTAAAACTAGATGAAGGAAAGAAAGATAAGTAATCTCACCTCAGTTGATAAGGAAGAACAACTGAGGGAGTAGAAACGGTAGTATCAAGTATATAAGGTGATCGAGGAAATAGGAGTAGTCGAGGTTCGGTGGCCGGGACAATAGTCGCACGTACCAAAGCAATGCATACGAAGTACTAATCCAACACCCCCCCTACTGCGTATGCTCAAGGTTAAGCATCTGAACCATTCGGGCATGTGTAGGTCCTGAAAGAGCTTTCGTCGTGATATCTGCCACATTCTCACCGCTACGGACTCGAACGATCTTCACGCTGTCATCTTTAACCTTCTCCCTGATGTAGTGCTCACGCATGTCAATGTGTTTGATCAACGAATGATTCCTAGGCTCCTCTGTTAGAATATAGTCACGTTATATTCTGCAGCAATGGCAGTAATAAGTAGAGTGCACACAGCACTGTAGTTGATCACACAGATCAGACGATAAGAGAGTGGAAAGGACTGCTTGTTCAACGAGGTGAATACTACAGGTTTATATACAAGTTCAAGGTAGACGATGTCATGTTACAGCTAAACATAGCGAGAGAGAAAGGAAGTACAATACGATGTATCCTACTGGTAGTCCTATAGTAATAGTACACGATGGTGAGATTGATAACACGGTGGTGAGACTGATAACACGATAGTGAGATAGCGGTTGGTAATATGAGAACAATGTTCCATAGATGGTATGTGAGTCATCAAATGTTAACACTCCCCCTCAAACCTTTGTTAGTCCCATGGATGCAGCGAAGTGTTTGGCTTTCAGAGATGGAAGCGCCTTTGTAAAAATGTCTGCAGTCATGTTTTCCGTAGGGCAGTAGACAAGGCGGATCTTTCCTTCTTCAATGACATATCGGATGAAGTGGTATCGAATGTCAATGTGTTTGGTTCGGGCATGGAAGCGATCATCTTTAGCAAGAGCGATAGCAGATTGGTTGTCGGCGTTGAGAATGATTGGTTTTGTAATAGGGCCAAATAATTCCGATAAGAGGTTCCTAAACCAAATTGCTTCCTTGGCAGCGTGAGTCAAAGCAATGTACTCAGCTTCCGTGGTCGATAATGAGATGGTATCCTGTCGCTTGGATGACCATGATACTGCTCCTCCGTTGAGCATGAAAACGTATCCTGAGATAGCGTGTCTATCCTCCTGGGACATTCCGTCAGTGTCCGTGTATCCTTCAATTTCTGCTTGTGTTCCTCCGAAAGTGAGCCATAGATCTCGGGTGTATTTGAGATATGCATAAACACGCTTTACAGCGTTCCAGTGAGTGATTCCGGGGTTTTGCAAAAACTTTGCCAGTATGCCGACTGCGTAAGTGATGTCGGGTCGAGTTGCTACTGATAAGTATTGTAGGGCGCCAACAGCCTCTCTGTAGGGCTTGTCGCGCATGTGTGTGATATCCTCGACAGTAGTTGGCATCTGATCCTTGGTAAGATGTATGTGTGGATCGAATGGGATGGAAAGCGGTTTGACATCTGCGAATCCATATCGAGATAGGATCGCGTCAATATATGCCCTTTGGGATAAGTGAATGGACCGTGTATGTAGAGATCGGCGGATCTCAATCCCTAGTAACCAGTGGATTTCTCCAGAATCAACGACTTCGATCTGGTCCCTGATCTTCTTCTTTAGAGTGTCCATCACGGCCATAGTCTTGGTAAGCATAGTCATATCATCGACATGGATGAATATGATACAAAAAGGGTCAGTTCGATAGAATACGGCATGATCGAAATTTGACCTGGTGAGACCGACTGATGTCATGATCTCCCTGAATCTCATGTACCAACGGCGACCGGCTTGTTTAAGTCCGTAGAGGGCGAGCTTGAGTTTAAGCACTTGTCCTGCTTTAACTTCAATGTCAACACCTGGTGGTGCCTTCATGTAGATTTGCTCATTGTCGTCCAGTTTGCCATATAGATATGCTGATTTGACATCCATCTGGTGAATGAACATGTTCTGTTCGGCTCCTGTGCTGAGGATGGCTCGAGCTGCTGCCAGCTTTGTGACCGATGCAAACGTTTCATCTGGGAAGTAGTCAACGTCTGGTATCTGGTTAAAACCTCGTACCACTAGTCTGGCTCTGTGGCCTGTGACTTTTCCTTGTTCATCTCGCTTGGTCCTGAATACCCATTTCGATGTAAGGATGTTGGCATCGTCAGGTGGAGTGACAATATCATATGTCCCACGCTGTTGTAATCTTCGGATTTCCTCATTCATGGCTTCCCGCCATTGAGGCCAATCGGGACGTCGCATTGCTTCTGCAACTGATGTGGGGTCAGCGATAATTTCACCTGTTACTTGACCAAGTGATGCTGTAAGATGCCTGAGCTCTCGGTTCGGCTCTCCAAGTCCATTGATGATATCCTGGATCTTCTTGGTCGGTTTCCTGATGCGTTTTCCTGTGATTATGTCTGGGTTGATGGGTTCAGCTATTTCCTCTGGTACAGGTATGATAGGCTGTTCCGACTCGGTGATCAATGTTTCCAGATTTCCCAAATCCTGATCCTCCCCTTCAACGGGTTGGATCTGCTTATCAGAGAATTGAACATTACGTTCAGTTGAAACTGTGTGGCGATCTGGCCAATAGATGAAGTAACCACTGGACTCTGGTTCGATGCCTACCCAACGTCCTTCCTGTGCTTGATGGTCAAGCTTTCCAGGCTCCTTCTCACGTTTGACATAGACCGTGCTTCCAAAAATATGGAAGTTGGAGATGTCAGGTGTTGTGCCAAATCGTTTCTCCCATGGAGAAATCATACCGTTTGCCTTCTTCGGTGTCCTGTTCCACACATACACTGTGTACCCCATCATAAAACCCCAAAGCCATTTGGGTAATCCGGATGAAATCATAAGGCTGCGTACTCCATTGAGTAGGGTCCTGTGACTCCGTTCCGCTATGCCATTGTGTTCCGGAGTGTCATGTACCGTAAGGCTGCGCTTAGTGCCTAACCGTTCCAGGTATGCTGTGAATTCACCACTTAGAAATTCTCCCCCTCGATCAGAGTGGAGTTTCTTGACCGTTATGCCATATTGAGTTTGGAGACCGGTTTGGAGTACGACGTATTGGGCGAAAGCCTCATCTTTGCCCTTCATCAGTGGTTCCTCCAACCAACTAGTTGCTTCGTCGATGACTGTCAATGCATAGATATAATGATTCAGCGTTTGGACAGAAGCTGGTCCCCATACGTCCATGTGAAATACATCACCAAATTTCTCCGCTCTTGGGGATGCCCGAATTTTAGAGATTGGGAACCTTGCAGCTTTAGCAAGCATGCACGTCCGGCATTCGGGTTCTTCCATCTGCTTAGGATCTAGCTTGATCCCATGGACCTGGTTGGTTTTGAACATATGTTTGACATAAGCATAGTTCTGATGGCCAGCGATGCAGTGTGCTTCATAAAGCGACACCATCCTGGTTACCTTCCCGGCGTAGGCATATTCCGTATTCGGAATCTGGTATAGACCATTTGTCTTGGGAACGATTCCGATCATCTCCCCCTGTCTATTGATGATCTTTAGAGTTCCGTCTCTGATTACCATCACATATCCTGCGTCATCGAGTTTACCCAATGATACAAGTGTATTTGGTGTGTTAGGGCATAAGAGGGTGTTTTGGAGTGTGAGCGATTTCGAAATTCCATTCTCGTTGATTGGAAGATCGATCTGGAGATTCCCGGCAATGTTGGATGTGAAAGTCTCAGCGTTAGCTGCCTGGATGATTCGAGTAGGTACACTTCGCGTATTGCGAAGTTTGTCCTGAAGTGGAGTCATGTGGGATGAGCATCCTGAGTCGAATAGAATTGCTCCAGTGCTGTGAGATGCTACAAAAGCTGTCTCATAGTTGTTAGCAATTTCGGAAAAATTGAATATTTCCTGTGACGTAGTTTGGGTAACTTCCACGGCTGCCCACGATGACTCGGGTACTTCCTCAATGGTGGCTGAGGATCCCACTTCTTTATTCTTCGATCTCCAACTATTGCTGTTGCTCCCAGATGGCTGGTTTTTCTCCTTCTTCTGAGAACTCTCTTGGGCCTCATTGGCCTGTTGTCGTTTTGGTGAACTGCATTTATTGGCAAAATGCCCCTTTCCACCGCAATTGTAGCATGTGGAATTGTTAGAGTTTGGTCGATTCTGACCTCCTCCTCTATTACTATTACCTCTGCCCCTGGACTGGCCTCTGGAGTTTCCCCGATTTCGGTTAAATCCACCCCTGCCGCGGTTGAAATTTCCGCCGGCGTAGTTTGCAGATTCCTTCTTTCCAGATTGTCCTCGGGTATGGCCTGATGCTTCTGCACGTATCGTCGAAACTAGCTCCCTTGTGGTCAGCGGGACTGAAGTCCTTGCTGCAACCACTACCAATGCGTTGATCGTTGGTTTGAATATGTTTGGGATGGAAGCGATGATCGTGTTATTGAACATTTCCTCGGGAATGGTGATCCTCCGCGCTTCCAAACTGTCTCTGATTTCCAACAATCTATCCAAATGCTCATTAACCTTTGACGGTTCATGGCATCGCATGGAATGAAGCTGTTGTTGTAAGTGCGCTTCAGTGAGAGCACTTTTCGAATCAAAATCACTCAGCAAA